TGCATTGATCCTTTTACCACTATATCTTTGTTGCTTTAAAATCTATTTTATCAGATACGAGAATTGCATCTCCTGCTTTTTATTTGTTTATTTATTTTTGCTCTCTATTTGGTTTGTAAATCTTTCTCCATCCCTTTGTTTTAAGTCTTTGTGTATCCTTGCATGTGAAATGGGTCTGGATGTAGCATATCGTTGGGTTTTGGCTGTATCTTTTGATTGGGGGATTTAGTCTATTTAAATTTAGGATTACTGCCATTTGATGTTAACTGGTTGTTTTATCCATTTGTTGATGTAAATTATTCTTTATATTGATGGTCTTTACTTTTTGGTATATTTTTAGAAAGGCTAATACTGGTTGTTTCTTTCTATGTGTAATGCTTCTTTCAGAAGCTCTTGTAAAGCAGGCCTGGTGGTAATAAAATCTCTGAGTACTTGCTTGTTCATAAAAGATTTTATTTTTCCTTCAGTTGTGAAGCTTAGTTTGGCTGGATATGAAATTCTGGGCTGAAAGTTCTGTTCTTTAAGGATGTTGAATATTGGCCCCCACTCTCTTCTGGCTTGTAGAGTTTCTGCTGAGAGATCTGCTGTAAGTCTGATAGGCTTCCCTTTGTGGGTAACCTGACCTTTGTCTCCGGCTGCCCTTAGTATTTTCTCCTTCGTTTCAACCCTGGTGAATCTAACGATTATGTGCCTTGGGGGTTGCTCTTCTTGAGGAATATCTTTGTGGTGTTCTCTGTATAACCTGGGGTTGAATATTGTCCTGCTTTGCTAGGTTAGGGAAATTTTCCTGAATAATATCCTGAAGAATATTTTCCAGCTTGGATTCATTCTCTCCGTTGCATTCAGGTACACCTATCAAACGTAAATTTGGTCTTTTCACATAGTCCCACATTTCTTGGAGACTTTGCTCATTCCTTTTTATCCTTTTTTCTCTAATCTTGTCTTCTTGTTTTATTTCATTAAGTTGGACTTCGACCTCTGATATCCTTTCTTCTGCATGAACAATTCAAGTGTATAAACCTGTGCATACTTCTTGGTGTTCCCATATTGTATTCTTCAGTTCCATTAATCCACTTATATTCCTCTCTAAGTTGTCTATTCTCATTAGGATTTCATCAAACCCTTTTTCAAAGTTCTTAGTTTCTTTACATTGGGCTACAACATGTTCTTTTAACTCACAAAAGTTTCTTATTATCCATCTTCTGAAGCCTGATTCTGTTAATGGGATGCGCTCATTCTCCATCAAGCCTTGTTCCCTTGTTGATGAGGAACTGTGATCCTCTTTAGAGGGAGAGGCATTCTGATTTTGAGTATTCTCAGCCTTTTTACACTGGTTTTTTCCCATCATTGTAAATTTATCCACCTGTCGTCTTTGTAATTACCAACTTTCAAATTAGGTCTCTGAGTGGACATCCAAGTTGTTAATTCCCAGGGCCGAAATGTGAACTACCCACTGCGCCAGCCAAAACAGCGGCGTTAAGACTGATGGTGCTTTTCTGCCTGGGAATCTCCAGTCTGGCTTCCCTCTTGAGTCCATAATAGGCGACTCTGCCTTCCTGGAGCTCCAAACGTCAGTCACAAGGGGAACCAGTCCGTTTTACTCTGCACCAAGAGCTGCTGCGCTGAGGTGCTGGCAAAACCACTGTGTCGGCCACAAGAGTCACGCTCGCAACCCATGCGGATCCTCCAAACCTCGGTCAGAAGGGGAACCAGTCCCGTTTACTCTGCACCAAGAGCTGCCGCACCGAGATGCGGGCAAAACTGCTGCGCCAGCCACAAGAGTCGCGCTGGCGACCCGTGCAGCTCCTCCACTGGTAATCTGCTCTGTGAGCGACCAAAATTTGTCTGAAAGTGTGGCGTCCTCTCGTTCTCTGCGCTTTCACTGGGAGCCGCAATCCCGAGATGTTAGCAATCAGCTGTCTTGGATCGTTCCCCTAAATCTTATTTTCAATTAGGCAAATCCATTTAAGAGGCAACATAAAAGCGTGATTCAGAACTTTTGTAGTTAGATCATGGTTCAAATTCTGTCTTATTCACTTCCCATTTGTGTATCTGTGAACTATGTTTTTAGATCTCAACTTACTTAAATAAATTAAATTGGAATGACAATAAATGGTGCTTTGGGGAAGAATTAAATGAAATAATTCTTATAGAGGCATTATAATAATTTTAACAATTATCACTATTGTCAGTTTTAATTTTAGAAAACAAAATGTTGTTTTTAAATGACATTTTAATTTGTACTACAAACATAAAAAGCAAGAAGTTTCATTTTAACAAATGTATTACACACATATAACATTAATTTTTATTCATTTTAAAGTTATGTATTGAATTCCTACTATGTACCAGACACATTTTCAGCCCTCAGGAATATAGCCTCAAACAATATGCCGAACTCCTTGATCTCGGAGCTTACATTTTAGTAAGGAGGCAAAATAAAAGCAAATAAATAGTATTTTAATTCATAAGTGCTATGATGAAATACAAAGCAGGATTAAAAAGTGGAGCTTAGTGAAAGAAAAGATATTTTATGTAGGAGCATTAGAGAAGTTCTTTGTGATAAGGTAACAGCTGAGCTGAAAGATAGAGCTAGAATACTAGAAAGCAGTTTGACAGTGACAAATCAATACTTAAACTATTTTTGGCCTTTGTATTTAATGTGTACTAAAGTGTGAATTTTATTTATTTTATTTTAAGTTTTAAAACACAGCAATCTTGCAAATAGGGGCTTTTTTATCCCACTAAATCTATTAATAGTTTTACTAGCCAGTGTTTTCCTCATAAGTTAGATGCCCTCCATTTAATAATTCCTTGGCATAAATTGTAATTCACTATAAGCAACAGTTGAATGCCTATTTATAATAAGCATTTATTTGCATAATCCGACTTTGACATACTACTGAAGTACTCTATCCAGAAAAACAAGTTTCTGCCAAATCCTAATTTTCCTAAAGTAACACATTAATAAACAAGCTTTGTTCCTAAGCCTCTGTTTCATAGGCAGTTATTTTCATATCAATGAGTCGGTAGGTTGGGAAGAATAGGTTAACATCAGTGTAGAGTTGCTAGCAATTCAGTTCAGTTCCTTTATTCAAGCATGAGAGCTATATTTTCTGTACATTAAAATTGATGTTAATCTCTTGGGAAGATTATCTGTTCTGGGTTTGCAGTTTTTCTGTTCTAGAGAAATTTTTTTTTTTTTTGAGACGGAGTTTCACTCTCATTACCCAGGCTGGAGGAGTGCAATGGCGCGATCTCGGCTCACCGCAACCTCCACCTCCTGGGTTCAGGCAATTCTCCTGCCTCAGCCTCCCGAGTAGCTAGGATTACAGGCTTGCGCCACCATGCCCAGCTAATTTTTTGTATTTTTAGTAGAGACGGGGTTTCACCGTGTTGACCAGGATGGTCTCGATCTCTTGACCTCGTGATCCACCTGCCTCGGCCTCCCAAAGTGCTGGGATTATAGGCTTGAGCCACCATGCCCGGCCCGAGAAATCTTTAAAATATTTTTTGTTGATGTGGTTAAAGAATATTATACTTACCCCACTGGGCATTTATCTGTGCGCAGAACAAATGAGTGCATGAGAACAGTTTTGGTATAGAATACTAAAGTAAAGGTAAAATTCATGTTGGTTCACCGTAAGCAATAAGGTGGTCTGTTTGCTGAGCACTTGACTTTTCCTGCTGCTTTGAGCAGTTGGGGGGTTGGACCCTAGAGGGAGATAGACTGACTGAAACTGGTAGTGTTTTTCTCAGTCATGATTATTTGTCATTTGTATAATAAACCGAGTGTAGTATTAGAATGTAGTATATTTAAAAAAAAGAATCTTGTATATTTGTGACACCAATAGTGGCAAATTCTTTTTTCATTTGTACTATATTATTATCCTTTCTTGGTGTAGGATTCATTATCATACTCTAAAATCAGTAGTATACCAGGATCATATTTCATGAATTATATTTCCATAAACACTAGTTCCGCAAGGTGTTGATAGATGTTAAATAGGAAAAAAGCTCTGTAGTCAGAAAGTAGGTAATACTTAAAATATGTTCAGCAGTTCTCTTCACCATAACAATTAGTCAGAACTTTGTGTGTGCTCATGTGCATTATGAATGGGGGATATGGCAGCTGGTGTTTCTTAAAACTTTTTGACTAAGGATCCCTCTCCTTTCTTTTTTTCTTTTTCTTTAATATACCAAAAAGAAAGGCACTAGACAGGAAATTATTTGGGAAATGGTTTTATAGACTAGAGCTTCTCAACCTTAGCACTATTGACATTTTGGACCAGGTTGTTCTTTTTTGTGAGAGGCTGTCCTGTGCATTGTAGGATGTTTACCAATGTTCCTTGGCTTTACCCAGTAGATGCCAGTAGCATCTTATTCACCCCCCACCCCCAGCTGTGACAATCAAAAATGACTCAGACATTGCTACATGTTCCCCAGTGGGGCAAAATCAAGTGGATATTGCATCATTCTGGGGAGTTGTAGGGCTTGTTAATAATTTGTATCTTAATGTTTTTTAATGAGGAAGAAACAGTAGTCTGGAAAGTAGAATCATAAAGAAGATTCAGTATATTTTACCACAATAAAGTTTCTGGGTTCACTTTATAAGCTGGCCTGGTTTTCTAATGACTTACTGTAAAAATATAGTTTCAGATGTTGTAGAATATTATTAAATATATGGCAGAAGCAAAAATTATTTTGTAATTAATAGAGTAGGCCCTGGTTGGCTAGGGGAGGCCTAGCAGGTGAGTGAGGGACTGGGGAAGGGATAGCATTAGGAGAAATGCCTAATGTAGATGACGGGGTGATGGGTTAAGCAAACCACCATGGCACGTGTATATGTATGTAACAAACCTTCATGTTCTGCCCATGTACCCCAGAACTTAAAGTATAATAATAATAATAATAAAGAGTAGCACTGATATTTAAATTGACCTGCTTATGAGGATGTTGCACCCTTCTAAACTCTTTTCTTCCCCCCCTTTTTTATGCAGGGCTACTTTCTTCTGTTTGAGTCTATGTTAGATTCTGTCCTTTATGCAAAGAACAAATACTTGGCAAAAGGAGGCTCAGGTAAGTATCAAATTCTGGTTTTAATAATCTTATTTTAGTCTAGCAGAACCAAATGAACCTTTGGATTTCACATAAACTATACATGGCTGTGAAAGTTCCCAGTAGAGATGAAAGATGTTTACATTACAAGAAGGTTTAAGACATTTGTTTACTGTATTGTCTTACTATAAGAGATTTGTTTATATATTGTTGAAAGAATATTATATAAGATATGCAGGACTCCAAGGTAATGGTATTCTCAAGAATGCTTTTTGTAAAGAGCTCCCTTTAATAAACCTATGCAAAACCATTCAGGACATAGGCATAGGCAAGGACTTCATGACTAAAACACCAAAAGCATTGGCAACAAAAGCCAAAACAGACAAATGGGATCTAATTAACCTCCAGGGTTTCTGTACAGCAAAAGAAACAATCATTAGAGTGAACCGACCACCAACAGAATGGGAAAAAATTTTTGCAATCTACCCATCCGATGAAAAGCTAATATCCAGAATCTACAAAGAACTAAAACAGATTTACAGGAAAAAAAACAAACCCATTCAAAAGTAGGCAAAGGATATGAACAGACACTTTTCAAAAGAAGACATATATGAGGCCAAAAAAACATGAAAAAATGCTCATCATCACTAGTCATTAGAGAAATGCAAATCAAAACCACATTGAGATACTATCTCACGCCACTTAAAATGGCGGTCATTAAAAAATCTGGAGACAACAGATGCTGGAGAGGATGTGGAGAAATAACACTTTTACACTGTTGGTGGGAGTGTAAATTAGTTCAACCATTGTGGAAGACAGTGTGACAATTCCTCAAGGATCTAGAAATAGAAATTCCATTTGACCCAGCAATCCCATTACTGGGTATATATATCCAAAGGATCATAAATCATTCTGTTATCAAGCCATATGCACATGACTGCTCATTGTGGCACTGTTTACAATAGTAAAGACCTGGAACCAACCCAAATGCCCATTGATGATAGACTGGACAAGGAAAGTGTGGCACATAATACACCATTGAATGCTATACAGCCGTAAAAACGATGAGTTCATGTCCTTTGTAGGGACATGGATGAATCTGGAAACCATCGTTCTCAGCAAACTGACAAAAGAACGGAAAATCAAACACCGCATGTTCTCACTTATAGGCGGGTGTTGAACAATAAGAACACATGGACACAGGGAGGGTAGCACCACACACTGAGGTCTGTTGCCAGGGGCTGGGGAAGGACAGCATGGGGTGGGGATGTTGGGGAGGGATAACATAGCTTGAAATGCCAGAGATAGATGATGGGCGGGATGGAGGCAGCAAACAACCTTGCCATGCATGTATGTACCTATACAACAATACTGCATGATCTGCACATGTACTCCAGAACCTAAAGTACAATCTAAAAAAATAAATATCAAAAGACTAGGGTTTGTAAGCTTTTAGATACTGAAATTCAAATCTAACCCCTTTTTATTTTTAATCCTTATGTCATTTTTTCCCCTTTTTTGCCAATGGCATGTTTCATACTAAATTGGAGATGATTCTTGACTTCACTAAATATGTAAAAAACCTGACTTCTCTGTGATTTTTGTGAGAATATTTAAAGTAGTGACTGGTTTCTAATAAGTTTTAAAAGTGCAACATACCCAATCCTCATATAAATGGATCCTAATGAATTTGGAAGGCTTTCTTTTTATGTTTCTGGTCTGTTTTTACAGACCTTCTGCTGTCAGAAATTGTAGACAAACAAAATAATTGTTTTTCAGGACAGGGATTATGTTTGTTTAGCTTTAACTCTTAAATGAGCTTCACTGCTTCTGGGATGTAGATGGAGCATCTGTCATACATGTTTATGGAATTAAATCATTAAAACAATCGCTAAAACTGAATTGAATGGCCTCTGTCCTCCTTCACTTACCTCCCTGCATCTTACCTTTCTCAAAGTTTCAAGAGCAGCAAATGGTTTCCATGGTCAGAATACAGTTGGTAAAACATGAAAGGGGGAGGCATTTCAAACTAATGTAAAGGACTTCACTGTAGTTATGCCTCTTACCATCCAAGTTCTATGAAATTACTTTGGCAGTTCTGGTACAGTTAAAAATCAGTGAGGCTAAAACATAAAGAACAGAGAAAATTCTCCAGAACAAGAAAGTTCTTTTTATAATAACATTTAAATGGATTGCCTTTCTTTTTCAAAATATGCCCATTTTATCACTTTATCTTCTGCAACCATTTCAAGATATGTTCCCAATCTCTGTCAAGAACCTGGATAGAAGTTTTAGATACATTTTACCCTGCAACAATTGGCTATAACTTCCTATGATTGCAACGGCTTTGTTTTTTTAATGCTACTACAGGTTGAATATCCCTTATCCAAAATGGTTGGGACCTTCAGTGTTTCAGATTTTGTGTTTTGGGAATTTTGAAATATAGTCTTTGCATTATACTTACTGGTTGGGCATCATTATCTGAAAATTTGAAATCTGAAATGCTCCAGTAAGCATTTCCTTTGGGTTCATGTCAGTGCTCAAATTCGGATTTCAGATTTTCAGATTAGGGTTACACAAATTGTAACATTTAATGACTTAAAAACAATGTTATCCATCATTTGTTGACTGTCTACTGCTGCCAAACAGTATGCCTTTATTCATGTTATTAGATGTAATCTTCACAATAGCCCTTTGAGATTTTAGAAACAGTCTTCTTAAAGTGTCCTGGATGACACATATTAAATGGCATATCTTGATTTTTTTTTAAATTCAGATCTGCCTGCCTCCAATATTCATGTTCTTTTTATTATGTTGATATATGATATATGTAATATATGTTGATATATCATATATAACATATATCATATATGTATGTAATATATAATATATATAACATAATATAAATGATATGATATATAATATATATTATGATATATGTATATGTATAGATGATATATATCATGATATATATTTTTTATATATTTTTTTTCTTTTTTTTTTTTTTTTTTAGGCAGAGTCTCGCTCTATTGCCAGGCTGGAGTGTAGTGGTGTGATCTCAGCTCACTGCAACCTGTGCTTCCCGGATTCAAGTGATTCTCCTGCCTCAGCCTCCCGGTAGCTGGGACTACAGGCACGCGCCACCATGCCCAGCTAAGTTTGTATTTTTTAGTAGATTCGGGGTTTCGCCATGTTGGCTGGGATGGTCTCTATCTCTTGACCTCATGATCCACCTCAACCTCCCAAAGTGATGGGATTACAAGCATGAGCCACCGCACCTGGCCAAAATGTATTTTTTAAATATGATTATTGCCTTGAAGTTCTGGGTAAGATTCAAGTAACTGTTTCCAGACCTGCCTGAATTGATCTTACTAAGGAACTAACAGCAACTTAATACATTTAAATTGAATTCTCTGTGAAATTCATTAGCAACCTACAGCAATGTGAACAATGGCAGAGCTATTTCTTATCATCAGAAGGATAAAGTGGAAGCTCATATATCTAACCCTTTCTATACTTTCATATGGCTTATATTAGTGGTAAGATAATACAGAGATGTATTTAAGAGGGGTCAGCATTTAACTCCTTAAGCAGCGCTGTTGAATGTTATTTGTTAACAGAATCAAGAGGAAGAAAGAAAATTTAGAAAAGAATAACGTAAAGTAGTTTATTTGTGTATTTGAGTATGTCTTGATGAATATTACCGGTCATTTCTATGCTCATTGTTTTTTATTGCAAAGCAAAATTTTTCTTTGTTTTTCTGAAGGAAAGATTTACCAAATAATTAGTGGTGTAAAGATTATAGAGGCCGAGAGTGGTGGCTCATGCCGGTAATCCCAGCACTTTGGGAGGCCCAGGTGGGCGGATCACGAGGTCAAGAGATCAAGACCATCCTGGCCAACATGGTGAAACCCAGTCTCTCCTAAAAATACAAAAAAATTAGCTGGATGGGGTGGCACGTGCCTGTAGTCCCAGCTACTGGGGAGGCTGAGGCAGGAGAATTCCTTGAACCCAGGAGGTGGAGGTTGCAGTGAGCCGAGGTCGCGCCACAGCACTCCAGACTGGTGCCTGGTGAGACCAAAGATTATAGAAAGAATGAACACATTATGGAGGGAATATTGAAGACCCATACAAACCTGATGGGACCACACTTTATTTTTACATGAATTTAAGTTCAATTTATGTCTCATCATACATACTACGGTAAGCAGTAAAGGCTTTATAAAACCCAGATGATAACTTGGATGTTCATTTACCCCATTATTCATCAAGCAATTCCACTGTATTTTAAAGTTACATAGTTACTACCCTTCTAAGAAAACTAATTTTGTAAAGTTAGTGAAAGCAGTTCTACTAGCAATGATTTCTGCTATTTCTAGCGAATATTTACTAAGCACTAATTGTGTGTCAGGAATTATAATGTTTTACATGCAGCCAATAAGAGATGAGGAGGAAAAATAGGAAAATATTGGTTATAACCAATGGGTGTTTTTACAACCGCAATTAAGACTAAAATAAACATGTATTTTAGGATGACAACATAGAATATAAATGTTTTATATACTAACAGTGTCAAATACTGCATCTCACAAAAATTGGAAAGGGAATGCATGTGGCAGGTAGAAATGTTTACATTGTAATTGCTTTATCTTTAATGATAGGTACTATGGAATGTTATTTAAAGCTGGCAGATCAAGTAGTCGAATTATTGAGTACATTTAGCACTACAAAGCTAACATTAAATTGAGTGATGAGGTTGGTGGTGGTGGATCCTGTCTATGTCTCTTGACTTTATCAAAGCATGTGCAAATATTCTCACCAAAAAGAGTGAGTTTTGCTACATGTGAATTATATTTCAGAAAAGTGACTTTTTAAATCAACTAAAGTAGCATTCCCCACCTCCTTTGGGTCAAATGAATTATGACATGATTCAATTCCTAATTTTTCTGAAAAGTACTTTTCTTTAAAACTGTATACTAACTCTGTGCCCACCTCTGTATTTGTTGTTAGTATTATCAGTG